TGACAGATTTTAAAATCCCGTTTTAAACAAAATGTCTGACGGAGTTTTTAAACCCTGCCAGACAAAACACTGCCGGTTCAGTGAGCTGCACGATATTGGCCACCGCCGATAGGTCGCTGAGCCTGTCTCTACTGACCGATGTTGTTCCACTCGTTGTTGACCATCAGGGCGGTGACCGCGACGCGCCAGAACTTGTCTCCAGTCGAGACGATCACGCCCAGCACGTGGTTCTTCACATACACCAGCACGCCCGGCGTACCCTGCACGTCCCCGCCTGCCGTGCAACAAAGCACGTCAATTGGTGACGTTAGAGCAACCGCCGTCGCCGGTGAGAGCTAATGAATAGGGAAACGCTCTCTGGTGCTATTGGTCAGGTGCCTGATTGGGATTTATCGTTTGTCAAGCGCATGCTCCTCACATTTAACCTGAATGTACATCCAACAGCAAACAACAAAGTATTGTGTGCTATGATGCAGGCTCAGGCTTCGGCACACATATGGCATCTCGTTACACGTCTCACGTCTCACGTCTCACGTCTCACGTCTCACGTCTTACGTCCTGCGTCTGACGTCTAACGTCTTACGTCTTACGTCTTACGTCTTACGTCTTGCGTCTGACGTCTAACGTCTTACGTCTTACGTCTTACGTCTTACGTCTCATGTCTCGTATCTCTTGTCTCATGTCTCGCGTCTCATGTCTGGTATCTCGTGTCTCGTGTCTCGCTGCTCACGTCTCACGTCTCACGATAGATGTAATAATACAACGGCCAGCGCTGCACAGCGTCTGCTCCCCCAACAAATATCCAACTCGGAACGGGCTGCCGAGCCTGGTACGATCGATCGTTTGACCAGGAGCCATCGATCGCTTCGGTTCTCATGACCCCAGCACTCTAAACATGAATAATTCGGGCTCATCGCCGAAGGCACCCATCGACACTGTCACGATATCCCGAGAGTCCCGGTGTAGGCCCACAAATGTCTTCGAAGCGGCATCGCAGGGTCATTTTTAAACAATGCTGTTTCAGGGTGAAGATGCTCGCTTTTGCCATTCAGTCTGCTATCGTATGAAATCTGTTCAGTTCATGAATGCTGAATGACGTTCTTTTCATTGTGAAAGCAGAATAATTGTCTACGTGTGCCAGAAAACAGCTCGCCAAACATTGATCGAGGTTCTGTGAATTTAGCTGCTCTGATACACACAAGCTACTGATGAGGCAGTTCCCATAGTTTCTACCCTCCTCCCATACTTTGCCAGTAATAGCATGCTCTCCCCTCCGCTGGCAATGGGTGGTGACCGTTTGGCAAACCCCAGGCCAGTTGGTTTCGCTTGGCTGCCGCTATGTTTTGCGGAGACGGCGGTGTCCGGGGGCGGGGGATTGGGGAAACTTGCCGGTACTAATCAGGACCTGCCGTGGCAGGTAGCGCGTGCTGCCGATCAGACTGACGTCATAGCGCGCCTTGTGCCATAGGCTGAACGATAATCCGGCCGAGCAGTTCTGTGGGTTCTTGACGCAGGCGTCGTCCGCGCGAGCAAAGTCGCGGTGAACCAGACACTGGAACGGAGTGGAACTGTCAGACCTCGCGGAACGACACCGACAGATCGCTCGGAATGGAACTGTTAGACCACGCGGAAGTAGCCGACAGACCACTCGGAGCAGAACTGCGAGACAACACGGAACGGAACCAACAAACTACTCGGAATGGAACGGGACTGTTAGATAGAGCAGAGTGGAAAGAAACTGTCTAGCTGCAAAGGGAGCCAGGCTGTTATGCCAAGAGAAACGGGACCACCAAACCATACGGAACGGCACAGAGCTGCCAGACCGCGCGGAATAGAAAGGAACTGTTGGGCCACGCGAGACACAGCAAACTATCGTTTGACGCCGAAAGAAACGGAGCGTTCTGAGTATGCGGGGCGGAACGGAGCTGGCAGGTTACGCGGAACAAAGCGCGGTTACCAGACTGCGGGATGGGAGAAACAGGCAGGTCATTTGGAATGGAATGCAGCCGTCTGAGCCTGCTGGATGAAACGAGTCTGCCAGAACATGCGCGCAGAGGATGAGCTGCCGGACCGCGAGGAACGGAGCGGCATCGTCATTTTGAACTGTAATCGTTCATCTCGTCTCGATGCAGACTAGAGCCTTACGATTTCAAGTGTATGTCTTTCGAGAATGGTGCAACGCTATGTGTGCATCTGCTAATGTATATTCACTATTAGTGAGCATTCAGTCAATATGCATCGAGCTATGGCGTGTGACCGTTTTGTGTAATGTTATCACAAACATGAGACCTGTCTGACAACATATAATGCGCCTGTTAAGGCACCCACGTCAATGAAATGGGTTATCGGAATTAATGAAAAGAACCCGACTTGCGCAATGGCCGGCACAAAACAAGCACGGAATCAACACATGTGGGATGGGTTTAGGTAGGATTTAGGATTAACGCACATGGGATAGACACAACATCATCATCATGTGTTGGATTGGCACCCGATTATCATATGTTATATTGACATAGGACTATCATGTGTTGGGTTGAAACATGATTATCAAATGCTGGATGAACACAGAATTATCATATGTTGGACTGACGTAGAATTATCAAAGGCTGGATTGACACAGGATTATCGTATGTTGGACTGACGTATGATGAGCATACATAGAATCGACAACGGATGACCACATATAAAATCAGCACAAAATCAGCATGAAACTTGCGTACACGCGAAGCACATAATCAGCCCCGACGAATATCTTCTGACGAGGACGCCCACTGTCGCGACGTCAGGCTACTCACCATGGCTCCAGGCAGCCTCACGGAGCTCTGGAAGCCGAAGGGACCGTCTCCCAGCTGGAACCCGGCGCTGCCCGGGTACACGTCGGCGTTGGCGTGGATGCTGCCCCAGTGGTAGTCGGCCGAGGCCGTGTACCGCTCGTCTGGTAGGGCACGACACAACGCTTGTCAGGCCAGAGGCCGCGCAGCGCCGTTAGCGACAGTGATTTTGGTCAAGTGGGAGGACCGAGCACCACGTAGATAAAAAAGACATGCTGCGTTAAAATGGTCATGTGTACTTTGTGGGTCGCTTACGATCTTTTAAACGATGGTACAGCTCTCCCATACTACAGTGTGTCCTCCAACTTTCGCAGACAAGGAAATTTCCGTGAGGAAACTTCACACGACGCCTGCCAGGCGAATAGTTTCACCAGGGAGCTGAGGAACGCGTCGTGGCGGCCAACACTCGCCTCGTTCCGTTGTTGTTGTGACGGTTGTGGTGGTCGGCCTGGTTGTCGTGGTTGACATGGTGGTGGTCGTCGGCGGATCGACGGTCGTTTGCGAGTCCGTGGCATTGTCTGTGGTTAGTGTGCTTCCATCGACGCCCGCTGCGGATGACGCCAATCATAGCAATGTAATGTGCCACCTGCGGCCCGTTGCAGCGACCCGGGAAGCCAGGGAGGTGTGGTGCTCAGTGCACAGGGCTCGAAACCAAGCTCCAAATAAAGTACGCGCACGTCCATGCTGGTCGGACAGCACGAAACGAAAAAAACTAATGCACACACACGATGACTGGTGTGGGCATTTCCGTCTTTGCCATACGTTCTCCATGCTGCACATGCCCGGCTGCACTCGCACCCACATAGGAATTCGTTCACCCACATACACAATGACACACATACGCACACGCACGTATGCGGCCACACCGACGCACACCTCTATACGCACGCTTGCATCGCTCTTTCTTCGCTCACGGGCAGCTATCATGTGTTTCTCTCTTCATCCCCCACACGTTATATATATATATATATATATATATATATATATATATATATATATATGTATATATATATATATGTATATATATATATATATATATACACCGGCTGTGCGGCTGCTTACCTCCAGGACCGGGGCCGCCAGTGGCTGGCTCCGCTGACCCCACCTGGTCGGTGTTTCTCTCCAACGCGGAGCACTGGCGCCGGTGTTCCTCTCTTACGCGGAACACTGGTGAGGCCCTGGCCATCCCGACCTCACGCCGGTGCTCCCCTCCTTCCGCAGCTTTCCGACCGGCGCAGTAAGGTGGCTGATTCTGATCTGCCGCCATTCCGAATTGTTGCTCCCGAAGATCCTGTGGCGGAAGGCGAAGTGCATTCTGGATATCTGAAATAACAGTGATCAGCATGGCTGGCTGGATTTTTGTTGGTGAAGCGTGCATCGCGTCACCCTGCCTTCGCTTATGAAAAAGACAATGCAATGATCAATTTTAGCAGGAGTTGCTTTATTACTAGACGCAAACCTTGGTATTTATTTATGACGGAAGTCTATACTCTTTAAGTCAATAAACTATCGTGAAACATGCACGCATATTTATGAGACAAAACACTTCATGTCATGAGGAACGTTTTTATTTTCGGGTGTGCGAGACAAAACACTCAGTCATTTCTGGTGCTATCGGCTTACCTTTCTGGGGGTCCTTTATTTCGGTCCGTCTTCCGAGTAATGTGCCTGCAGATGTCACGTATAGATAAGCAGCCTGGTGCCTGCAAAGCTGCAGAGTTCCGGCTCATAGACAGCCACCGACTGGAGACCTTGGAGACGAGTCAACAGCGTATTGTTTGGATGGTCTCTGTGGCGATCCTTTGGCGCTGTGACGCGTGCGACACCTGGCCTCAGGACGGTGATTGGTGGAGGGCGTCCGTTCGCTCGACGAATGTGTGACCGTCGCAGGTGTGGTGAAGTATCGTGCGCTGTGGACTGGGACTCCGGTGCTCCGTCCCTCCCCGACACCGCAGTCACGAAAGACATGCCCTAGCTCCGGCAAGCAGTGGCGGGGTTGGACAACCAAATCGAATTATTTTCACGAGGCTTTGTTTCTTCCAGAATGATGTACTGGTAATAGCTTTTGACGAATTCGCACAGATTGTTTTCAGTTCTGTGCTGTTTCTCCGACTAGGAGACCCCTATTTGTCACGTTTTATTTTCCACACAAACGTTGATAAATTGGTTAAGACTGCATAGAATGTGACTAAAACAGTAGGATGCTTAGCAGCAGTGCCGTAAGCTATGAAATAGCGTTCTGGTCTTTAACTAGCCAGCTGGTTATTCGCACTGGTCGTATTGTAAGGCACTATGCAGCCAACACAAGTGGCTAAACTTTTCATTTGAGCTCCACTGAAAAGACTCAGAAGAATGCAATCACCTGATCACTTTGCTCTGCTCTGCGACTCGGGAGATGGGGTCAACAAACAGAAAACCTGGAACACTAATGCCGTTCTAAAAGTCATGGAGCTTTTTATAAACGAACAATCTTGCAAGATGTCTGACCGAATCATACGAGCCGTCAACGAAATGCTGGCCGTGTTCTCCCGTGGATTCCTGATCAGCTCACTAGCGACCCTGTTCGGAGTCATCGAGCAGCTGCTGATCCACTCCAGCGAGAACGAGGAGTACCTCGGCCTGATCTGCCGGATCGTCGCCATGTTCGGACTGCCACTGTGGAAAGAGCGCGAGTCAACCAGCAGCGACGACTGGCAGTACGTGGTCGAGACGGGCAACGTGCTGGGCTGCCTGCTGAAGGAATGCGTCGAGCCGCGGGTGCGGCTGGAGGTGTGCCGAGCCCTCGGCGTCATCATCCCAGGCAGGCCTGAGCGGCTCTGCGCCGAGGAGTTCCGTTTCAAGGCCCTCGGCCGCGACGAGTTCCTGCTGGCGGTGGAGGAGAGCAACATCGGCGACTCGCTTATGGAGACGATGCGCACCGTCGACGAGGAGGGCCTCTACATGGAGATGTTGAAGGTGGTGCTAGCGCTGTGCTACCGCTCGACGCGCTGCTGCCAGAACATGGTGACGGCGGCGCTGCCGCACGTCATCACGCAGCGCATGCTCTGGACGGACGACGTGCTCTTCATCACAGCCGAAATCCTGATCCAGATGATGGAGAGCGGCCCGCAGGAGGCCATGCTCGACCAGCTGACGTGCCGCCTGTGCGTGAGCACGCTCCGCTCGGCGCTGCACCACCAGCTGCGCTCCGTCCAGTCCGTCGTCAACCGGCAGCTGCGCAACGACATCCTGACGCTGGCCGTGTACGTGGCGCGCCTCTGCCCGCCCGTGCCGCTGGTGGAGACGGGGCTGGCGGCCGACCTGCTCCACCTGGCCGTCTACACCGAGCTCAAGTCTGACCGTAACCCGTTCAGCTACCTACAGCTTCTCACGTCCAGCGAGGACTTCGAGATGAAGAAGCTGCTGCTGGTGCTTCCCGCGCTGCTGCTGAACACGACGGTGACTATTTCGATGCTGAGCGAGCACCAGGTGATGTTGTCACTGCTGATGCTGATATCCAGGGACCTTCGGCCGTCGTTCGCCTACACCAGCGCCGTAGCGTGGACGGAGCCGCAGTTCCGCGAGCTGCAGCTGCTGGCCTTGAACACGCTCGCCGCCGTCATCGGCAGCCTCCCAGAGGAGGCCCTCAAGTACAGGGCGGGCACGCGGCTCCTGCTCTACCTCAACAGCTACCTTGAGGGCTGTCCGACTGTCACCGTGCAGCACCTCGAGGCCTGCATGCAGGCGCTCCACAACTCAGCCTCGAGCGGCGAGCTTAGCCTGCTGACCGACCTGGCCGACCAGGACGCCGTCACCATCATGACCAAGTTCTTGCGCCATGAGCGCGTCGCTGGCCTCGCCGACGGACCTCACCGCATGGCGTATGTCTCGCTGGCCAGCGAGTGCCTCTCCATCCTGTCGTACCTCTGCGACGAGGACCCGCACCGTAAGAGTCTGTTCGGCAGCCGAGGCGTGGAGGCGGTGCTGTCCACACTGCTGAAGATGACGCAGCAGCGCTGCCAGCTCGGGCCGCGCTATCACACGGTCATCATCAACGCCATGGACGCCATCTGGTCGTGCGTGTCGGGCTGCGCGACTAACGAGCAGGAGTTCCTACTGCGCGGCGGCTGCGACACGCTGTTGAATCTGGCCGACGCCGAGGGACCGGGCCCGCTGAAGCTGCAGGCACTCGGCTGCCTGCTGCGCCTCTGCGACAAGAGCCCGGCGGCGCCCGCCTTCATGCTGCGCTGGCGTGACGCTGCCGGCCGGAGCTGCGTGCAGCTGCTGATGGCGCTCTGGCGCCGGGAGGAGGAACAGCTCGGCTGCCAAACGGACGCCGACGGCATCATCGTCGATTTGGAAAGCCCGCTGCGCGGCGTCCATCAGAATCTGGAGCCGTTCAGCGACGACCCCGAGCCGGTGGCTGTCACGGAGATGGTCGGCAAGATGCGGCCCAAGATCTTCGGCATCATCGAGCACCTGAAGCTTGTCAAGAGCGACGACGGCCCGTTCGTGGCCGAGCTACTCAACATCGACGTGCACGACCAGGTGACGATGGCACTGGTGGAGAACTACCTGGACTTGAAGGAGGGCGAGGTGTGCACCGAGCTGCGCGCGCAGATCGCAAGCCAGGGCATCCAGCCGGTGTACGCCGATCGGCTGCTGCTGGAGGACCTGCACGTGATCGGCCGCGAGAAGAGCTGCGCCGCGCAGAGCCTGCAGACGGACCTGCGCAGCGCCGCGCACCAGCGCGACGTGGCTGAAGAGCGGGGTTTCTTCGACCGGCTGAAACGGCTCGAAATGCAGGAGCTGCTGGCCGTGCGGCGTGTGTCAGAGTACATCGCGCGCACCAGCTGCCACGGCGTGCTGGCGCAGGCCAAACAGCGCCAGGTGAAGGAGGTGCGGGACTCGACGCTCCACCAGACGCCCGGCAAGTACTACCGCACGCTGCAGGAGTGCACCTGCGTCACCGTCTTCTGCGGCCGCAACGCCCGATATCACGCTCACGCCACGCGACGGCAGGTTTAACGAGCCGCAGCCCGAGCCGGAGACGGAGACGGCCACGTCTGAGAACGACACGGGCCGGAGCTAGCCGGCCCGGCTGGAGAGCGGAGGCGGCCCGAGCTGAAGGGGGCGCATCTGAGGCAGACCGAGCCAGGGAGGATGGGCGTTGTATTTGCATAGGCAGCCGTTGCGCGAAGTGAAGGAGTTAGTTGTGAGAAGTATGGGTGACACTGTGATTGTTGTGGTACATCATTCAAGACGTGTTCGGTCGTCCTATCGTCATATCTCGCCATCATGTGCGTTTTCCTTGACCAGTTCGATGTTAGGCTCTGTTAAATGTTGAGTATATAATGCATTGCAACCAAGAGGTATTGATTGCTGAGGCCCGTGCTGTGCTCGTTAAAATTACAGCGTAATTATATCGCCCATAATTAATGTAGTGCCACACGCCGTCTTGGTGCATTTAAAACAAACTTGCCGAACCCAAAGATTTACAGAACGTCATTGGCAGCCATAGAAAGGCTTCGAACAACGAGATGGCGATGATACTGGTTATGTTCTGCGGCGTCACTCGATCGGCTGATTTATGTCACCTCCGAGTCTCAGCAAGCCACTTTTGCCGTGATAAGTGATCGTTGAGCTGCCATATGCCGGAAGTAGCTGGTTGGAAGAGTATGCCAAAAATGGAAAAAATCGGCACGATTATGGTCAGCCACTCGGAAGTGTCGGGGCTCTGCGAGTAAAAAAACAAAAAACAAAAAATCTGCGACAACCTAATTCAACATTGTACAACCACCCTCAAACGTAACTGCTTAATGTACAGCAAGCATGTTCCGCGGCCTCAACAGCTGTGAGCTTAGCTGACATCATGTCCAATGGCGTGTACTGAGCTGCGATCTTATATCGTCACATGCAGATGGGTGGGTCGGCTAACAGTGTTCACTCATCTGGATATCCTTCGCGCGTTGGAAAACGTTTACTGCTCCGTAAATTGTAGGCATAATTGATGGACAACATGACATGCGGTCGCTCAGTTATGCCTACAATACTCTTATTTACTCTTGCTGGCTTTGCATCGTGTACAGCATGCGCTGCTTATTACAAAGAAGACAATTGAATCATGTTAGAAAACGTGGTTCGACTCGTTCTTGTTGCGTTTTGCACGCCGCCCGCAGCATTTGCTGTCCTTCGTAGCATTCTTTGTGCCAGTTCAAGCCTTACTATCTTGCTGTGTTATCTAAGTCACTGAAGTGCTGCCCTGTTAAGTTTTTCTTCCCCCTTGCTGGCTTGCCTGCTTTCGCTTCCCAGTCACTCATGTTTTTACCACGTCGTCTGATATAAATGGACCAACAGCATGACACACATTTCGGCCTGGCATGCCGAAAATGAGCGGCCTTCAATATACCATGAGGTACTGGTTGAAAGAAAAAGTCAAGCAATTACTGCAGCATGCCATTAAAAAAAGCTACGGAATAACAACGAAAAATGACAGCATAATAACTAAGACTCAAATATCGATCGCGACCACGAATACCGCTGGAGATACAAAGCATCCTTTCAGCATACTCCGATGATTGCTTGTGGTCTTAATGTACTCTTTATCTCCCGATGGTATGCATCACCTTTATAACTTTTGATATGTGTGCCCTCAAAGCGAGTACGCCACCCTCTTACACTTCAGATATGGTTAGCTAATACGCGTCGCGCGACCAGACGCGTTAGATTGTAATATCCGAACGCTCTCGTCGGCGTCAGGAGACCGACGTCCGGTGACCGCTGACGGCGGCGGCCGGTCAGCCCCCGCCTCCGGCGGTCGGCCGCAGAGGCCGCCTAGGCGCGCGCACTTGTGACACACTACACCACATGATCACAAGCGATCACATGCGTTTTTGATCGGTTGTGGTAATTTTCTCGAATTTGTTTCTTAATAGCTCAGAATTCTGATTCAAAGTAGTCAATCCTCCGGGAGAAATCCCATTGAGCCCCCTGTCCATCACTGCGAAAGTAATGTTTGTTGGTGGACTCGATGCGTCGTTTCGCAAAGCCTTTCACACCATGATGGTCTATGAGAGAGAGCTACATCCTCACAAGTATATTCGGCTATAATTGCGTACGGGAAACAGCAAGCTTTAAAAATATATAACGCACAAAATACAAAACACACTAATCGTCTTTGTTGGAGTATCATGAAAACACACGAGCATCACAATAAGCCCACTGTCGTACATAAACTCACCACCGATGGCCACTTATTCCATGAATATGAAACATACACTGTGCCAACTTATCAGCTACTGTGTGAGGTAACTAACGCTTTTTGAGACGACTGGAGCTGAATAGAAAGGCCCGGTTACGTATTCACGTTTCTGAGAGCTTGTTATTAAAGTTGGTATAACTAAAAACATGCTGGAAGCCAGTCGGACTCATGGGTATCGCTCTGTGGGCTCCGCTGAAGCACAGTCCGTGTAGCAGGAATGTTTGTATGTTGCAGGACACTTATACTGTAGATATGCATGTAGCACCACTGTTCTCTTATCAAGGGCGGCTGCTCCAAACTCTAGATGATGATGCCACTTTGTCCGTCTTCCTAGCTAGCACGGTGCCAGCAGGAAACGCGGGTGGCGGTAACTCTAAAACGTTTCCTGTGGGCGAAATAGACATATTTGGCTGCTGGGGACCCTTAATTCCAGCGAGGAACGCCTGCGTAATGCGGGAGACAACATGTGGCGATAACGACGATGAGAAAAACCGAGGCGTGCCAAATGCGGTACGGCTCAGGATCGCAAACAAAACAGCACCTGGGTCACCTGCCATCAATGCCGCGAAGCCCTCGCCTCCTCTTGGGTTCGTCAAAATCGAAGTCGTTTGGATTGACCGGAAACGGGTCCTCGTCTTGGGAGCCGTCCCCCAGCGGCAGCAGATCCGGAAACAGGAACACAATAACCCACGGGAGCACGAAAACCACTGGCACGAGCGCGCTGACGACCACCTGCATCGCCTCGACGACAGGGCCTCCTTCGGATCTTCGCCGCCGGGCAACGCTCCGATCCCCGGCCGGGGTCAAGGTCGTGTGCACGGGGTCGACGCCAGGCGGCGATCGGCTGAGTCGACCAGAGCGGCGCACGGTGTCGACCGAGTCGGGCGGAGCCTCGTCAGCCAGCCTGTAGAGGGCAGAAGGCACGCTGTCTGAATCGTCACGATGCGAGCTGGTGGCCGTGAAGAAGTGTGCCATTGTCACGGCCCAATACCTAGCGCGCGGTGATGGAGGAGCCGTGCTAGATGGACAAAGCACCGGCGTCTCGTGAGTCGATTAACACGCGCACGGGTATCCGGTTGGATACCCTTCGCTCGGGTGGGGGCGGGGGAGGTCAATTTGACCCCCTTCCCTGAGATCTCAGGAACTAAGAGAGCTAGGGACATCAAATTGACATGGTATGTTGATCTGCACACGAACTCACTTAGGTCCCAGTTTGAGGTTCCTAGGTCATGGGCTTCGGGTGAAGTAAGGTCAAACAAGGCCAAATTTTAAGTTAGTTTCCAAGTGGCCCCTGGAACCTAGATAACTGTTCTAAGCAAAAAAGGTACTATGCTCATCTAAGGCCAGTTACCTCGATTGATCCTTTGAAGGTCATGGTGACCAAAATCATACAAGACTGCTTTAAGTTTTTTTAAATCATACAAGACAATTTAAGTTTTGCATTTGGATAGGTGACAAATATTGCCCTAAGCAGCATACTCATAAAAACGAAATGCTGACCAAGGTCATTTTACGTCAGTAGCCTATTCTGACCATTAAGAATATAACTATGGAGGGTGCATAATGCGGTTTCTGCTGTCAATAAATTTGAAATGAGCACCACAAGCCACTCCATACAACAAGCCCAGTGGTAATAAAATAGGAGAATTTTGACCTTGGTCTGACCTTCATACCTGACCTCAGGGCAGTGTAATTGATTCCTTTTTTGCTTCAGAAGCTATCTCAGAGATGTATGGCTTCGTCTAACCCTCCGTCGTTGCTTCAGATTAAAAGATTCCCTAGAAATTTCCTTCGCCGAAACCATGGCCTGGCTTTGACCTGCCATAGGTCAGCAACCTTACCAGTTACCTCTATATTTTCGACGCCAAACGATTTGCTATTCAATTGCCCACAGCTATGCAAAATTTGGCGTTGCGTAGCTGCGTCGTTCGGAAACCATTCCGGAAAGCCCTCGGGGGAGGTCAATTTGACGTACCCCCACACGAGCGCAGGTTAAGTGTTCGGCATGCAACCGCGAACATGTGGGTTCGAGGTGCTTATCCGTCCTTTGTCCACATCCACCGCTCCAAACGACGCCCCGTCGCACCGGGATCGTGCTATGGCCGTCAGCAGGGAGCTGGCCTCTCGGCCGCCCCGCCGCTAGTCCCGCCCGGGCGCCTGCGCACGGCCCAAAGTCGGGTCCCTCGGCGGGATAACAATTGCTGGTAGCAGCATCCCATGCTGGCCGCAGCATCTCCCACCTCACTTCTTTCGTCACCTCCATAGCACTAACATGGCCAGTTATTGCCGAAGGGGCTCCAGCCTGTGATAATCCAGACGTCCTGCTAGCTGAGACTCGATTTTCCGCATAATCGGAGTAGCATACTGATATGCTTGTTGCCCTAGCAGTTGAGTGCACGATAAAGTGATCACAGCTTGTTGGCAAAGGGAGATTAGGCACGGTATCTCCCTTATAACTTACAACTAGGACCCGAGAAGAGGAATGAGGGTCCCCGAATGCAACCAGGCCATGAAATATTCTGGAGCCGTAAGTTTAAAATGCCATGGGAGCCAGGGGCATCAAGGACAAGGAGAAGTATCAGCAAAAGCATCAACGTATCCAAAGAAGACACTGAGTTTCCAATGACACCAAAGGTCCCAGACAGCATGGTGTCCTAAAACATCAGCCCTCTCCTAACAATGATTCAACAGTCCAAGAAACATGGTTGCTAGCGCAGATAAAAAGTCCCGTTACCTCCCCTACAAGTGGCGCCTTATTGCATCCTTA